CCTTCCTTCCTTCCTTCCTTCCTTCCTTCCTTCCTTCCTTCCTTCCTTCCTTCCTTCCTTCCTTCTAGCAATCACTTCCTGCTGTTAGTCTATGTCACAGAACTTTACCTAAAGCATGTCCTCACCTTGGGGCTCCAGTTCTGGCTCCTCGATGGCCAATAGGGTTGTCCACCTTGGAGAACATTCCAAAGGGGTTGTCTTGGGTAATGAAAACTGACAGGCTACAAAAGAAGCAGAGCATGGTAAGAGGAGGACAGAAGCTAACAATTCCCATGAATTCCTGGAAAATATGGACTACAGTTCCCACAAATCATCACTTTGTAGTCAAGACAATGCTCATAGAGGTGTGATTCCATGACCTCTTGAAAGAGACTTAAGAGAACCTAGGAACTGGTAGTTGATAGTTCTTAACTCTGGATCCAGCCTAGGAGGAGCTTTTATTGTTTACTTATTTTTGAGACAAGGTTTCACTCTGTATACAGCCATGGTTAGCTTTGCACTTCAGGTTATCCTCCTGCCTCAACCTCTTGAATGATAGGATTACAGAAATTTAGGAAGGCTTTTAAAACCATAGATTTGTTGGGTGGAGGTGGTGCACAGCTTTAATCCCAGCACTCAGGAAGCAGAGGCAGGTGGGTCTCTGTGAGCTGTGAGTTCGAGGCCAGTCTGGTCTAAAAGAGCTAGTTCCAGGACAGGCTCCAAAGCTACAGAGAAACCCTGCCTCGAAAAACAAAACAAAACAAACAAAAACCATAGACTCCTATGTGATGTTCACCTGTCATCTCCGCACTCAAGGGACTGAGGCAGGAGGATCAGAAGTTCCAGAGGCTGGGGAGATGAGCAAAGAGCCTGGCACAAACATGTGGACCTGTGTTCAGATCCACAGAACCCATGTAAAGCCATGTGCTAGTACAAGTCTGCAATCCGAGTACTCCTACACTGAGGTGGGAGGTGGACACAGGAGAGCCCTCCTAAAGCTTGTAGGCCAGCTAACCTGTAGTACTCAGATGTAAACATCAAAGAGACCCTGTCTCAACAAGGTAAAAGTGGGGTTGACACTTGCCTAGTGAGCACAATGCTCTGAGTCTGGTCCGCAACTGGGGACTGGAGGGAATGGGGGTGGGGAGAGATGGGAGGATGACAGACAAAGCAAAAGATGAGGACAGACACCTGAGGTTGTCTGATTTCCACACGGTGCACCCACACTTACACACAGAAACAGATGCATTCACACATGAAGGCTACATGGACAAGAATAACATGTTATAGAATCATGGTTCCCACTTCAAGCTAACAGAATCAGAATGTCAGTAAACAAGCTAGACACTGCATCTTCTCCAAAATATCCAAGCAATTAAAAAAAGATTTACTTCTTTTTATGTTTTGTGTATGAGTGTTATGCTAATGTATCTGTGCACTACATGTGTGCAATGCCCTCGAAGGCCAGAAGAAAGTGTCAAATTCCCTGGAATTAGTACATTACAAATGAAGAAGAGCAGTCATGTGGGTGCTGAGAATTAAACCTGGGGTCTCTAGAAGACCAGCCACTGCTTCCAGACTCTGAGTGAACCCTTTCTCCAGCCCCATCCAGGTAAAATATGGTCTGTTGTATGATTTTGTATGTTTTTAACTGACATGTGTTAATTGTACATGTTTATGAGGTGCAGTATGATATTTCAATACATGTATACAATGTGTTATAATCAAATCAAGGTAATTAATCTCTTTAAACATTTTCCATGAAGCCCATTTCATGAAGCCCCAATGAAGACCACGACTAAAAAACAAGTAATTTATTAGCCAGGCATGGTGGAGCATGCCTTTAACCCCAGAACTTCTCAAGAAGCAGAGGCAGGGGCAGGTGGATCTCGAGTTCAAGGCCGGTCTAGGCTACTGAGTGAGTTCCAAGACAACTAAGGGCTACACAGAGAAACCTTGTCTCAAAAAAATAAAAATAAATAAAGAAGAAAGTAATTTAAAAGACATAAATGAAAAAAGAAGAACGAAAATAAAAGAGAAATAGACAAAAATAAAACAACAACAAAGAACCGGACTAAAACATACACAGTACGTTTCCGGTTAAATCTGTTAAGGGGAGGTGGATGTGGACTGAGAGAAGGGGTAGATGGACTACAATCCCCATGAGCCACCGGGCCCTCCTAAGCGAGAAAGTTCAAAGATAACACCCATGGTTGTCTGGGGAAATTTGGAAACCCACAAACAATTTCCAAGTTTCATTTAGACTCCCTTAGAGCCACCCAGAGAGAACAAAAGACATGAGATCCCAGGGATGGGGAGGTTCACGGCTGGAGCGCCAAAACCTGCGTAGCATCTTGGGAGTTGTAGTTCCAGTGCAGTTGGGCCGGAGACCCCCAGGCTCCAGCAAATCCGTGTTACCTTCCCTGGGCTTCCTGTGATCTCTGAGGGAGGGACCAACCTCACCTGCAGTCCGTCCCGCATCTACCTCAGCGTTAGTGCCAGCTGAACTCCTTAACGGGACACCCCGACGCCTACCCTCCTCGCTTAGTAACGCTGTCAGCTCCGCCCCTTTTGGGGGGGCCTCCAAGGCGACCAATGAGAGTCTAGAAAATAAAAGTAACTGGAAAAGCGGCCGAGGGGCGTTCTCTCGTGACTGGCTGCAGCATTGCTGAGGGCGCGTGTTTGATTGGAGGCAGGGAGTGTGCAGCAGTCATTGGCAAGACTTTTGACCAATAGAAAGGATCAGAGGCTGGGCAGCCTCTTGGAAGAGCGCTAAGTGTGTTGGCTTTTACGCAGTCCTTTTTTTTTTTTTTTTTGCCTAACCGCCAGAGTTGTTGTAGGAGCTAAGGCCCAGCTCCAGCCTAACTACTGTTGCGGGGCTAACCGGGGACGTCTGTCTTCACTTAGCCATCCCTCTATCAGTTGGACCGGCAAACCCGTCTTGATGGTCACCTTAACCACTTTCTTCTTGCTACTGAGCAGCTGGTCTCAGTCCTTGCCAGGTCCGGGCTCCTGGCCCAAGCAGTAGGATCAAAACGAGCTATTTCTGGCCCCGGCGCGCAGCCCCTGGGGGCCAACCTGGAGTGTTCATGCTCACGCCCCCCCTGGCCGCTGAGCACCCGAGGCTGAGTCAGAGGCCCAGAATTAGGCCCGACCTACTCTGGGGTAGGGTCTGTTCTGTGTCCTCTGACAGCCTGGCGTGGCTGCCGCATTCTCCAGGAATCTTCCTAAGACTGGTGCGTCATCCTCAGATGCCAGCCGGGCGGAGATGGATTAAGATGATGGAGAACTCTTTTACAGGGCCCAGGTTCCCAACTACTGCCACAGTGGTTCGCCACACCTAGAAGGGTCTGCCTCCTTAAGCATTAGCTTCCCCTTCTAGAAATGGAAAAGGCTTAATAACAGTACCCTGGTGTCCTTTTCCAGGCATCCAGCAGGCGTTTAATAACTAGCCAAGTCATTATTGAAGTTTCTAAATAAGGCATACTAATGGCTGAGTCTGGCCTCAATCCCAGTGTCCCTGAGAGGCCCGCCGCGAGGGCCGCACTGGGCACAGTATAAATCGGAGAGTGCGTGCGCTTGGGCACTGCGGAGCCCAGAGTGGCAGCGGAGGAACAGAATGGAGATCCCCGTGCCTGTGCAGCCTTCTTGGCTGCGCCGCGCTTCAGCTCCTTTACCTGGTTTTTCCGCTCCGGGACGCCTCTTTGACCAACGTTTCGGGGAGGGACTGCTTGAGGCGGAGCTGGCTTCGCTGTGCCCTGCTGCGATCGCCCCCTACTATCTGCGCGCCCCCAGTGTGGCACTGCCCACAGCACAGGTGCCAGACCTGGGGGAAGGGACAACTCAACTACTAACAAGACTAGCGGTCTGGTTCTCCCTGGGGTCGGGATACGGGAATGTCTGTAGATTTTAAGTTTCGGGAAGAACGCCACCTTTCAGCGGGCCACTGAGAGTCCTCGGAATGTGGTGTGTTGAGACCGGGTTACTATTCCTCTGAGGGGCGAGGAGTGGAGTCTCATAGCTCGGGGGTGGAAGGACGGAATGAGGAAGGTGACCCGAGGAATCCGGGGACGGGACACCGAGTCCCGAAGGGTTGGAATGGTCTTGTGTATCGGTCTCCCAGTTCGGTGGGTGATTTGAAGAAGGCGGCCTTGGTCACTTTAAAGCAGAGGAAGGGTACCATAAATTCAGTAGGCACCGGAGGTTTCATAACCTGAGAACTCTGGAGATGTAGTGGCATCACTTGCTAGCGTGGTGGGGAATAAGAGGTCTCGTAAACAAAGCCATGGTGACTGTGGAGTCAATGACATGGGGTAGGGGTACAGGGCAGGTACCCAACTCTGTCACCCTCTGAATGTGAAAGTTCAGGAGAGGTGGACCCAGTGCCTACAAGGGAGGGAGGAGGCTAGTTATTTGTGTGTAAGGTTGAGGTTCTGGTGACTCTGAAAAGGGAACTGTCTACCCAAGTCCTTGGGCAGCAGCACTGTAACCTACATAGGGTAGGGGTGCTGAGTCCCAGAAGCCAAGCCCCCACCCAGTGAAAATCCCACACCTAGGGGCTGGAGAGATGGCTCAGAGGTTAGGACAACTGACTGCTGTTCCGGAGGTCCTGAGTTCAATTCCCAGCAACCACATAATGGCTCACTCCTATCTGTAGTGAGATCTGGTGCCCCAGAAGACTATACATAATAAATAAATCCCACACCTATGTCCATGTATGCAGGCAGCCAAGGACCCCGGGTATTTTTCTGTGCTACTGGATGTGAAGCACTTCTCTCCAGAGGAAATCTCTGTCAAGGTGGTTGGCGACCATGTGGAGGTTCACGCACGGCATGAGGAGCGCCCGGTAGGCCTGCAGGCCAGATGGGACAGCAGGGTTGGGCAGGAAGGTGGGACGCTCAAGTCCATTTCCCTCCCCAGGATGAACATGGATTCATTGCTCGAGAGTTCCACCGTCGCTACCGCCTGCCTCCTGGTGTGGACCCTGCTGCTGTGACTTCGGCACTGTCTCCTGAGGGTGTCCTGTCCATCCAGGCCACACCAGCATCAGCCCAGGCCCCACTTCCATCACCACCTGCTGCCAAGTAGGGGTCCGGGCATTATAGGACCGAACCTGAGAAGCCTCTTTAGGCTCCCTTTTAAAAGCCGATCTGACTCCGCTGCCCAGCCAGATGTCCCAATCGCTGTCAAGACAGTTCCTCCCCACCAAATCTGGGTGTCTTTCCACCTAAAGCCCTACCTGTGCCTTAGTAACTGAGACACACACCCCAAGCCTGCCCTGTCCCGTCAGCTTTCAGGCCCCATCCATAATACCCCTCTAGGGACAGCACACACACTGTCACCCTCCTTGGCGTAGACTCCACTTTGGGCGTCTACTAGCACTAGGCCGCCTACTGCACTTCTAAGTTGTAGAATGCCCACACTGTAAGACCAGAGTACAATGCAGATAGTGCTCCCCCACCCCAGGCCTGTCACCTGATTCCCCACAATGACCCATGGGAAGGCCAGTCTGACCCAGACTGCATGGGCCTTCCACATCAGAACATTAAAGTCTGGTCCACCAGACTCTAGATCCTGTCCCTACCACCTAACAGTCTGCCCCAGGCCATTTTCTGACTTGAAACTCCAGGAGCCTAAGTTCCCGAATCCTGTTCTGACTTCCCAATCTATTGGTTGGAAATCTATTCCCCACCAACCAGGAGCCCCAAACTCAATTGTACAGATACTCCAACTTCCCCAGATGTGCTAGGCCAATGAACCAGACCCTTGGGTTCCTTTGTCCCGACCCCCACCTGCAGCCAGATTTCTTAAGCAGCCACCTCCCCATCACTTGTCCTGTAAGATCAGTCACACCTTTGTTTCCTGTCACCTCATGCCCTTCCTATCAGTCCCCAATAAAGGCGCTAGAGATTCATTGACTGCCTTATGTCTGGGCCAGTTTTGGTTGGGGGGCAGGTTTATTGGGGTGAGGGTGGGGGACTGGGAACATCACTGCCGATCATACATCTCCCGCAGGATCTTCATGCTTTCTGAGTAACGAAGCTGATTCCGATGAGATGCCTCCTTCCACCTAGCGAGGTAAAGGAGGATTTAGCAACTCCTTTTACATGCAGAGGGCATGTAGGAAGGGAGCAAGTGGGACAGGGCATGCTTACCTCTGGCGTATACGTTTCCAGCGTTGCATGTTGCGATAGATGAGCGTGGAAAGAGAAGGTTCAGGCTCGGAGGGCTGCATGGACAGAGAGGCCCAGCTAGGTGGCCATGCCCCAACCTCCCAACACATGCCCTGAACTCCAGGCCAGCCTCATACACCTACTTCGTCATCTGGGGTACCCTGGGTCTCAGGCTGCAGGGGGGATGGAATTCGGGATCTGCAGGTATCACCAAGTGACCCAGGGGCTGTGGGTGGAGGCAGCTTGTACACATCACGGCTTTTGCTGTTGATGACCTCTGAACCCTAGGGAGACCAAGCCCCACTGTGAGGCCCAAGAGTCAGAGCAGAGGGTTAAAAGTACATGCATCCCTCCTACCTTTCCCAGTGACACAGACATGAGTCAGAAACCTGCACTTGGAGGAGTCACAGCAGAGGGACACATACCTTTACCAGCTAGAGAACGGTCTTCCTGTTCTAGGGACCGGATCTTCTTGTCAGCCTGAGAACCCTTGTCTACCCTTGCCAAGCCCAGGGAATTTCATCTATACCTGTCAGCCCAAGGTAGGGGTCAAGATGCCTGCCTTAAGGAACTGTTCAGGGGGCAACAGGTTTACCCTTATCTTGACAGAGTCAAGTCCTATGTCCGTCCCAGGGATCCCTGTCTGCCCTCTTAGGCCAGAAGACTTCCAGACCCCCAGCACCCTCCACCCCGCTCACAGGGCCCACATTTGCTCACCAAGGCCCCCCTGGTAGCCACTCTGTCTGCACTAAAGATCTCTTTTAGCCCTTTATTTCTTAGAATCCCTGTTCTCTAGGAAGCTGTATCTAACCGGCCTAAGGATCTCTGTCTTCACCTAATGGCACATAGCTGTGTGTCCTATTCTATGACTCTATACTCATTTAGGGGGCCCAGAGATTATACCAATCTACCACCAATGGGGGGGGGGCGGGGATCTTGAATCTATCCACCCACTGCTCTCTCTGGCCTCTGAGTCATCCCACCTCCTCATCCTCAGGCAGAGGGGGCAGTGGTGAGCTGGGTGACCGCTCCCGCTCTCGCACTGAGGGACTGTTGCGCATCCAGGCACGGCAGATGGGGTACAATGGTGTGTTCTCACTGAACTGGGCCAAATCCACACTCCGGTCAAACAGCTTGATCACATATGTGTCTGGGGTGGGGAGGTGGGACATAAATGAGCACCCTTATTTAGTTCCTGGCTCCATGCCCACCCTCTCGGGCCCCTCCTACTCACTGGATCTCTGAGGACCCCCCTCAGCCAGCCCATCGTCCATCTCCCTCCTCTTCTTCCTCCGCTGGTGGGGGAAGCGGGCGGATGGCCTATGTGGTGAAGGTGAATGTCAGCCTGGAGCTGGGGACTGAGAACCCAAGAGTGGGCTGGGGCCCCAGTTACCTTACCTTTTGCCAGTAGCAGCGATGGAGCAATCCCTGCAGGGAGAAACAGGGTATCAGCAGCCGAGCCTTTAATAAACACCTGCTCAACACCTCCACCCCAAGGAAGGGTGATGTAGTTTGGTAATAGAGCATTTGAATAGCATGGGCAAAACCCCTGGGGTTCAATCCCTAGCACTGAAAACAATAAAAATGGACATCCTGGGGTTTACTGCTACCCCTTGTATCCCACAGACATCCCCAAGGTGTGAGCCACTTACACCACAGGTATCTCTGTCCATATAAAACCCCATCAAAACCTCTTACTTGTTGTGTGTATCTGAGGGTGTCTTTCCAGCATCTTCATCCAGACGTTCCCTAGGAGCAAAAGAGCACCATTGGCTTAGGGTACTGAGGGCCCAGAATGTGATAATAATGGGTCTCCCCAGGGAATACTTTTCTCCCCGTGTCGGCCTCTAGTCTCCCATCCAGATCCCAACCACAAAGAGTCCAGACACAGTTCCCACCCTTGTGGTCCCCAGGTTGGAGCAGACCCCAACCTGTCCATGTGACTCTTCTCCAGGAGACACTGAAGAACGGCATCCAGTTGGTTCCGGGCTTTGGCCATCTCCATCTCTGAGGGCAGAAGGTACAAAGTAGGAATCAGTTCACATAGGTGCACCCCCACACCCTCTGTGGGAGGCAACCCTAAGGTCTGGTCCAGGTGCTCTGAAAGTGGCAGCTTTAGTGCCCCTCAGTGGAGAACTAAGATGAAGACAGAATGGGGCTGCTGAGCCTTAGGCAGGGGTCAAGCCGAGGCCGCTGCCATTGCTCCACTCTGTTGGCTCCTCTCCCACACAACACCAGCTTAAGGTCTATGATCTGCACACCTTCCATGGACAGCCCTTGGGGGCTTTCTACCAGGTCCCATACTAGGTCTGGCTCTCTAAACTAACCCCTCTTCCTGAATCCCCACCAATCCACAGGCTCCTGGACTCACCCTTTCCCTTCCTGGTCTTAGCCCACTTGGCTTCCTGTGTGTCTAACGACGTATTCCCTCCCCACCTTGCCCTCTCCCCCCACTGAGCTCCTAGCCTCATTCTCTCTTTCTGATCCACTTTCCACGACGTAGACAAGAGAACCCCCCCTCCCAAGGAAGTCAGGCCTAGCCAGGCATAGTAGCACGTGTCTGTTATCCGAGCACCAGCTCTGGAGACTGAGGCAGGAGGATTAAGAGTTCAAAGCCAGCCTCAGCTACAAGAAACCCTGGCTCAAACAATAAGCAAAACAGAGAAAAAAGTAATAAAAACAGACAAGCAACTTGGCTTTGATCTTCCCCAGCATGGACCCCTTCAGGATTCCACAATCCTGACCCAGGAAAATGCGGTCTGGACTCAGCCTGGTGTTTCCAAGCCTACCCTTGTCCTACTGTATATTTGTGGCAAGGCTCCTTCCACTTGAGTGTCTCTCACTAGGTAGTCATGGGGTGGCCTGGAATTTACTAAACAGAGCAAACTGACCTTGAATTCAGAGATCTGCCAGCTTCTGCCTTCCACGCACTGGGATTAAAGGTGTGTGCCAACACAAACAGCCCCTCCACTATTCCACTCAGGTTTTCTTATTGTTGGACTGTAGGTAGGGTTTTTGTTCTGCTTTGGTTTTTTGTTTTGTTTTGTTTGGCATTTTGTGGTACACATTTACCAACTTACTCCTTGGTTCACAAACCTCCCTAGACTACCCATTTCCCTCAGAGGAAAAGTCCTGGACCCATCTATCTGTCCTCCTTCCCACCACCTCTTTGTCTCCATTTCTTCACTGCCGCAGCCATCCTGGCCTCCCCGCTGCTCCCTTGGTACCGCTGGCTACTCCCCCACATCGCCACTCCAACTGCCATTTCCTCCCACTTTGGGACTGATTTGTTTGATTAGCTGTGACTACAAGAAATATCACTAAGGCCTGGTTTTACTTATTTTTCAGAACTGGGGATGAAACCAGGGGTCCAGGGCATGCTAAGCAAACGATAGGCTCACCTACAGCCTTATCTCGTTTTAGGTAACACTGCTCCCATTTAACATCTCACATCACTGTTTTACTACTGACCACCTTTTCTTTCTGGATTCTGTACCCGCCTCACAGCCCTTTACCATGTCATTCTAGGGTTCCGTCTGGCTCCACCTGAGCCTCTGTTTTCTCATGCACCACACTTCCTACGCCCTAAGGTTACTGGAATACAGCAATTGAGAACTGATTCCCTGTACTTCAGGGTCACAGCACAACTGCTGACTCGTGACGACTTCCAGAAATGGGAAAACTAAAGTAGAACAAGAAAAGGACCCTTCTTAAGAGTTAGGGGCTCCGGACCCCGCAGTGTTACTACCGCTACAGGGTCAGAATGACCACCATTCAATCTCAAAGCTACTCTGAACACAGCCCGGGATGGTTTGAAGATGGCATGCTCCGGGCGACTGTCAGATGGGCTGCAGAGAGATGCCACATAGTTCACTTTTTTCGCGATAACCCACGTCTCTCGGGTATCTGGATCCCCAGTCCTCACCTGATTTCTCCACTTTTACCTTCACCGGGAACATGGTTTGGGTCCAAGTCTAATTCGCTGGATCAGAAACACTTAGAGGAGACAGGATTCACAAGCCAAGGCAGGAGGCTGGCAGGAAAAGGTCAAAGGTAAGCCTGGGTACCACTGGCCCTCGGGCCTGAGCACCGTCCAGTGGTCACTGCCTGGGCCGCCACTTCCCTTCCTTCCCTTTTGTAGGTGGGCCCCTTTGGCAGCCGCTATTTCCCATTAGTTAATGAAAACGTCAATTTCATTCGCAGGCCAATTGACAGCCTGTACCATTGGTTCCCCAGCCTGTAAGTTCCACCTTCCCGAGGCCCTGTTTCCGGAAACAAACCAACGACAACCCAGGAAACTACTGGGGGGGGGGGGGGGGGGGGCGGCGGGGGAGATCGTGTGATTCAAACTTCCAAGGCTCGCCGCGCGGAGCACTGTGGGAAGCGCAAGGCTTCTCGAGATTTGTAGTGTTATATTTTAGTATTGTCAGTATACTCATTTATAGCTTTGAACTAACTACTGTAGCTCTTTGTCACCGAGATCCCTAAAAATGAAGACTGATCTGGAGTTGGACTGGCTCCTTAGTGAAAGCTGGCTAGGTATCAGTTACCTGCTGAGCAAAATCTCTGTCATTCAAGTATTTAGAGCGCTGGGTATTCATCCAGACAGTGAGGACACCACAAGGAACAAAACAAGCAATGCTGCCTTGCCCTAAGGTGCTTATCTTGAAGAGACTAGAAGATAGTCAATAAACAAGCCAAAATTCTAAATGAAATGTAAAAGGAACAACAACAACAACAACAACAAAAAAAAAAACTGCTCTAAAATAGTCCTAGGGAACATCAAGGTATGTCTGAGATTTTATATCGTTATTTATTTATTTATTTATTGCCTCACTCTGGCTCAGTCTAGCCTGAAACTATATATGCAACCCAAGCTGGCTTTGAACATTAACATACCCTGCTGGGTATCTTTGTTTGTCTGTTTACTTATTTATTGGGGGTTGGGGTGTGAAGGGGCACACACGTACCATGGTACACCTGTAGAGGTCAGAGGATCACGTACGAGATTTGGTGGTCAAACTCAGGCCAGGATTGGCAGCAAGTGCCCTTCCGCACTGAGTCATCTCACCAGACCCTCTGCTGAAACTGTGGGGTTTTTTTTTTTGTTGTTGTTTTAAATATATGTATCTTATTTAGTTGGTGTGAAGGTGTCAGATCCCCTGGAACTGGACTGACAGAATTGTTAGCCATCATGTGGGTGCTGGAATTTGAACCTGGGTCCTCTGGAAGCGCAGTCAGTGCTCTTAACCAATGAGCCATCTCTCCAGCCCTGAAATTGTATTTTATTGTTTTGAGACAGGATATCAGTATATAACTCTGGCTGGCCTGGAATTCACAGAAATCCACATGCCTCTGCTTCAAAGCACTGGGATTACAGATGTGAGCCACCAAAATCATGAAATTTTCAATAGAAGTTCAAAGGGCCAGAGACATGGCTCACTGGTCAAGGGGACCCAAGTTGGTTCCCAGTACCCATATGGAGACTCATAAGCATCTGCAACTGCAGTTCCAGAGGATAAGACGCCCTCTTCTGGCTTCCACGGGCACTGCATTAAAGCACGTGTGTATACTTAAAAATAATAAAAATAGGAAAGTCAATGAGGTTTTTCTAAGAATGCTCTTAGTTCTCTCGCTCTAGACACCTCCAGAGTCTAGGCTCACATGAGTTCTTCCTTGGCCAACAATACTAAAACACAGAACAAGAAAGTAAGTATCTTGTTTGGTTTGTCTGCTGGGAATTGAACCTAGCATCTTTCTCACGCGGAACAAGTGTATTACCAGTAAACTACATCCCCAGTTAAGAAAGTCGGGGTGTTTGTGTGTCCCCACTTTGTAGACCAGGCTGGCTGCAAACTTACAGAGATCTGTTTGCCTCCGCTTCCCCAGAGCTGAGATTAAAAACGTGCACCACCACCATCTGGCTAAGAAAGTTGTTATTTTTTTGTTTTGTTTTGTTTTTCGAGACAAGGTTTCTCTGTAGCTTTGGAGCCTGTCCTGGAACTAACTCTTGTAGACCAGGCTGGTCTCGAACTCACAGAGATCCACCTGTCTCTGCCTCCCAAGTGTTGAGATTAAAGGCGTGCACCACCACTGCCAGGCGAAAGTTGTTATTTTTTAATGCACAACTACCAGTATAGGATAGCAGCCCCTAGAAGTGGGGGTGTCACTCTTTTCTTCCTCATCTGTGAGACAGGGCTCCTCAGCAGGAGAGTTCCTATTTCAAAAGGGTTCAGTAAGTGTTTTTGAATGTTGGCAACCATTTTATGCTTCTTCCAAAAGATTCCAAGAAGTCAATATTTAAAGTTAGGATCATTTATTAGAGCAGATGGGAAATGGGGGACAGACAGTCTTTAGGGTTTGAGAAAAGCTTAGAGCAGAGAAGCCCATCTTGGGGGAAAGAACAGATCGCCAGCTTTCCAGCTTGTGAGGTTATCAAGGGGTGCCCAGGGGAATGGTGAAGGAAAGGTAGTCCCCAAGAGCACCCCAGCGGGGCCGGTAGATCTGGAAGATGGTGATCCAGGTGGTAAGAACAATTACCCAGAAGAGGAAGCCCACAGCTGAGCGCCAAACATCTATAATGAAGAACAAGGGTTGGAAGAGTTGACCTCCCCCGGGCCCACCTTTTTATCCCTGCCACAGATCTCCCAGAGGTCTTGAGCCTCCATCATCCCTTCCAACCACCCACTACCCTGTTTGTTTGTTTGTTTTTTGCTGGTGCCCTAGAACTCACAGCCTTTGATTTGGCTCTGCTCTGTGTAGGCTGGGGCGAGGAAGGCCTCTCTGAAGAACCAGAAAATGTTGACCAACCAAAGAAAAGGCAGGAATGCAAAACCACCTAGGAAAAGAATAGCCACACTTGGCCAAACGGCAATGAGGACCTTCCCTGATCCCCACCTTAAAAGGCCCATTTAGAAGGTCCTCTCCCACGTTCAACCGGAGATCTCCGCTGTTTGGGGTTTACAGATCCAGGGATTCCTTATCTGGACCCAGGCGTTCATTCTTTCTCTTTTGGGACTCAGAAACTGAGGCCCCCAGCTTGCTCCTTCCTGAGGTCTCTCTTCTCGCGGACCAGAGTCTACATTCCCAGTTGCGTTACCCCTAAAAATCCACAATCCAGTTCGCTATGTCCTCTAGCCTCGGGACGCTCTAGTCCAGTCCCCTGTATTACCCGAAACCTAGGGGGATCGGCCTTACCAAGATAGTACTTCCGGCACAGATTCAACTTCTCCTCATTGGACACCCGCTCCAAGTTCATAGCTGCGCTGGAGCCCGGTGGTTCTAAGGGTCTGCAGACCAAGACCCAAACGACAAGCGCGAGATCACGAACTACCACGCCCCTATTACGACAAATTAGATAAAGGGAGAAGGTTGCTACGAGAGGAGGGTACCTCTGCGCCCGCCAACAGGCAGACTAGTTAGGGTGCGCCAGACAACCCCCAACTCACCAATGGAGTTTATCCCTTCTGCCGGGATTCCTTCGTTGTTTTTAACTGCGGCCGTTTGCAAGAGACGCCGCAGGTTTCTGCGGAGTTTGTAGTTTTTCTTTTCTTTTCTTTTCTTTTTTAATTTCCCCCGGAGGCTACGTTGTACGCATGCGTTGCTAGGACCTTGCGCATGACTGTCTGGGAGAACAAGCGGGCCTCCAACACGCGTGCGCAGTCGCGGCATAGGCAGGTACAAACTACACTTCCCAACGCTCCTGAGCAACGGAAGTGACGTAAGGAGCAGGCGCGTTGGAGTGTTCGGGTAAAAATGGCTGAATATTTAGCTTCGATATTCGGGACTGAGAAGGACAAGTGAGAATGGTGAAGGGAGTGGCCTCTCAGGGAGCCGGGGCACTTGGGTCCTTATGGGCTGGGTGGACAGGGCAGTGATCGTGGGATGCCCGGCCTTCCCGGCCCTCGGTTTACCTCTGTCTTTGCACCTCTTCCAGGGTTAACTGCTCTTTTTACTTTAAGATTGGGGCCTGCCGGCACGGGGACCGGTGCTCCCGACTTCACAACAAACCGACTTTCAGCCAGGTGAGACCTAGATTCGTGCCGCTCCGCTCTTCGTCTGCTGCCCATCATCCCGAGGTCCCGCCTCTTCCGGATTCCTAAGGCCAATCTCTCTTGCTTTCTGACCTGGCCCTCTGAGTAGACCCTTCTCTCGGGGACTGGGCCACACCTCCCATGTGCGCAGGCCACGCCCCTTGACTGTCCAGGTCGTTTCTTAGGCGCAAGCATCTCTGACAAACTCCAGTGGTTCCCATTTCAGCCCCCAGCCTCACACCCACTCTGCATGCAGCCCTGATTTCTGAGCCCAGGCCTCTTTATTTTTTGTTCAGACCATAGTGCTGCTCAACTTGTACCGAAATCCACAGAACACAGCCCAAACCGCAGACGGATCGCACTGTGAGTAAGAAAACCAGTCAGGTCAGGGGCCGAGCAGACAACCCCCAGCAGTCTACGCCCTCATTTCCCTCTTTGTCCCGCCTCCAGGTCACGTGAGCGACGTGGAGGTGCAAGAGCACTATGATAATTTCTTTGAGGTGAGACTTGCCGGGATAGCTGGGTTCCCTGTGTGCCAGACCTTAGCTGAGTCTCTCTCCATCTTCTGCAGGAGGTGTTCACAGAACTGCAGGAGAAGTACGGAGAGATCGAAGAGATGAATGTGTGTGACAACCTTGGGGACCACCTCGTGGGCAATGTCTATGTTAAGGTGCCTGTTGCCCCCTGCTTAGAGCCCAGCAGTGGAAACATTTGAGTGCCTGATGGCCACCACTGAAACCTCACAGCCTGAGGACTGTCCCTCAGAGCTGACTCGTCCCCTGAAGATCTTGACTTCCACAGCCCATGGTCATCCACTTTTCCCTCAGTTCCGCCGGGAGGAGGATGCAGAGCGGGCTGTGACTGAACTCAATAACCGCTGGTTCAACGGTCAAGCTGTGCATGCGGAGCTGTCCCCTGTCACTGACTTCCGAGAGTCGTGCTGCCGGCAGTACGAGATGGGGTATGGCAAAGTAGAGGAGTGGGCTGTGCATCAGAGTCCCAGGCACTTCAGGGTTTGGTAGGGGGTTGTCAGTGGTGATGGCCTCTTGTATCTGTTCTTAGGGAATGTACCCGAGGTGGCTTCTGCAACTTCATGCACCTACGACCCATATCCCGGAACCTTCGCCGACAGCTCTATGGGCGAGGACCCAGGCATAGGTACTTCAGGTCCAGCTTACCAAGTTCTCCTATACCTTGAGATGAATCTGATTCTGGTTTTGTGGGCATACCATTTCAAGGTTCTTGTGCTATATATATAGTTTTGAACCTTGCCTGGAGAGCAGTACCAGTAGGCAGACTTTTCCTGTCCTGCAGCCGCTCTCACCAAGGCTTATATTAATTACAAATGCTCAGCCAGTAGCTCGTGTTTGTTATTTTTTTAAATTATTTATTTATTATGTATACATTATTCTGTCTGTGTGTATGCCTGCAGGCCAGAAGAGGGCACCAGACCCCATTACAGATGGTTGTGAGCCACCATGTGGTTGCTGGGAATTGAACTCAGGACCTTTGGAAGAGCAGGCATTGTTCTTAACCTCTGAGCCATCTCTCCAGCCCGCTCGTGTTTGTTATTAACTAGCTCTTACAACTTAACCCATTTCTATTAATCTATGTGGTGCCTCATCTGACTGATGACTCCCTGACTCTGCCCTTCCTTAGCCCGTCATTCTCAGTTTCGCTTTCCTGCCTAACTTGATCCTGTTCAGCTATTGGCCAGTTAGCTTGTTTAGTAAACCAATCACAGTGACACAGTGTAAAGGATTACTCAACAGCAAGTACCTTAATCTCAGTGCCCAAAACAGTGTGAAGTCCAAACCCAAGACCCCTGAGTACCAATCCTGAAATGACATTAACAACCATCCTGTGCCTGAGAGAGCGGCCTGGGAAAATCTTCACACCATTCCTAACTTTCTTACCCATCTCTGTCCACACCTCTTCCCACTTCCCAGGTCACCCCCAAGATCCCATACAGGCCACCGTCCCCGCGAAAGGAACCGGCGCCGTTCCCCAGACCACCGGCATGGTCGCTTCTGAGACTGGTGCTCCTGTTCCTCACCCAAGGGCAGAGATGTTCCTGTGCAGGGTCCCTTCTCAAAGCCCTCTTCACTCCAGCTCCATCCCAGGCTTCAGAACTTCACGATACAATCTGCTCAGCAGAGGAACTTGCTCCTCCCATTCCTCCTCTAATAAAGCTTTAGAATTTGAGTGTGTGGTTTCTTTCCACCCCCACATCTAAGAGAATGTATACACCAACCACAGGCTCAGTAGAGCAGCTTGGAACCAGCTGTGAAAGGAGGCTTTGGGTCTGGGTCTGCACCGGTAAGTTGGGACTGCTTTTGTACCCAAAACTTAAATTGCCCTTTCTAGGTGCCTTTTAGGGAAATGTCCCCAGTTGTGGCAGGTTGGAGGATTCCTAACAGATGGGGATGAGAAAAGGAGAGGGAGAGGTGACTTGAGGAGGTTAGGCCTGAACTCTGAAGCCCACCACGCCACCCTGAGATGAAAGGTAGGTAGTCCCTACCCTTTCAGAGCTTGGAAAGCTTTGGCCATCTGCTAGTACTGTGGTGTTTGGTTTGTGGTTTGTTTTAATTGGTTTTGGGTTTGTTTTTGTTTTTCAAGACAGGGTTTCTCTGTATAACAGCTCTAGCTGTCCTGGAACTAGCTCTGTAGACCAGGCTGGCCTGCTGGAGCTAGCCCTGTAGACCAGGCTGGTCTCAAAACTCTAAAAGATCCACCTGCCTCTACCCCGAGTGCTGGGATTAAAAGGTGTACACCACCACTGCCAGGCTTTAATTGGTTTTCGAGGCAAGGTCTCACTGTATAACTATGGCTGGCCTGAAACTCTCCCTGTAAACCATGCAGGTCTCAAACTCAGAGCTCCTTCTGCCTTTACCTTCCAAGTGCTGGGATATGCGTCCCACACTTGACTGCTGGGATGTTTTAGTAGATTCACCACCACTGCCCCCCCCACGGCCTTCATCTAGTGAGACAGGTTCTGTTACCCCATCTTAGAGAAGAAAATGAGAAGGCAAGTGTGTGAGGACGGATAATCTGACCATCCACATCAAGTTCTTTTTAGGCCTGTGGGCCTGGAGTTGAGTATGGGGCACACCAGCCCTCAAAGAGGCCCCGCCTAGAATTCTGCGCCCCTACACCCACCACTTCCTCCTGCCCTGGACTTCCTGGAAAGTGTTGCAGAAGCGGTGTGGATGGAAGAAAGTCCTGTGGTCACAACCCACAGGTTGTGCTGAGATGGGGCCCAGATGTCTTTTCTGGACAGCCGCAGTGGCCATGCTGCTGCTGATTCGAGCTGCCTCGCGGGAAGTCTCTGGGTTCTGCGGCCGCCTCGAGTACTGGAACCCTGACAACAGGTGCTGCCGGAGCTGCCTGCAGCGCTTTGGGCCTCCAGCTTGTCCTGGTGAGCTCTAGATAGTACCAAAATAAGGGGCGCTAAGAAGTGGCAAGGTTCTTGCTGGTCCTGACAGTGGGGCTTGTTTGAGGAGTATGGGCGATGGGTCTTTGGCAAGTAAAACTGGGAGGATGGACTGAGCCTGTGCAGAAAGGATAGGTTAGGACGAAGACAAAAAGCGAATTTTACCTGTGAGTGGGGAGAGAGGGAGAAAGGGCTTATGTATATAGATTTTACAATGTGGGCAGGACTTGGTAGAGTGGGTGGGGAAAGGGGTGGGGTTTCCTGTGGATTTGAAGGGGAAGGGCCAACTAGCGAGGGAGGGAACGTCTGTGCGCAGACGTGCCTCTGGAGCCCATTTGTCCTACTAGACTACGAGTTTACAGAAAACTGCGGACTCAATGACTTCGGCGACACGGTGGCACATCCTTTCAGGAAGTGTTCTCCTGGGTATTGCAACCCCAATAGCACAGAGCTGTGTAGCCCCTGTAGCAGCGGAGCCACAACCCCTGCACGTATGGAGAGCCACAGTAGAACCCAGAAGCAGTGTAGAAAGGTGCTTGATGCCTGGGCTCTGGGACAGGGATTGCCTGAGGTAGCTGTGGGCTGCTGTGGGTTCCATGAGCAAAGCTTGGGTCAGTGGGGGAGCCTCACTCAAGAGGGTGGGGGAGCACAGCAGAATCCCCAAGTGCAAAGCCTTCAGTGGGTGGATGAGGTGGGAGCAGAAGTAGATCCATTTAAGGACCTAAGGGGTGGGTGGGAGGCTTGTTTCACTCTCAAACCTCTATCTATCCTCAGAAGCCCATCCCTCCCAAGGAAGTCTGTCCTCCGACAACTGAAGAAGCAGGGCTCTATATCTCCCTGGCTCAGGAACAGACAACCAAGAATAAGGTCTCCAAGCCTGGCTTTGCTCCACCCTCAGTGCTGACCCTCTTCCTGGTGCTCCTGTTCTTGGTAGTGGGCTTGCTCTCTTTGTTCAAGAGAAAAGCCTGCTCCCATCCCTGTCTCAGCTTGGCTTCTGGAGGCCCCAGCACTTATGCACACTGGTGCTCTCCAGGCACCCTAGAGATGTTGGGAAGTAGGAACAGCGGCAAGACACCACCGCTGCAGCTCTCAAGCTGGGGTTAGTAGGGGACAGC